GACATATGTAATCAGGATAAAAACATACGAATTTTACATATAGATATTTAATAAGGATTTTCCAAATAGTTTCTCAAACTTCGGTTTGTGAATCATTTGGCAAAGACGTTACGCACATATTTGAGGGAAAATTTTAGAGAATTTGTTCGAAATCGTACTTGATAAGAATTTAAAGATTAGAAGATAGTTTTATAATAGAATCAAACATATTTCAAGACAGATGCGATGATGAGTGGATTCAAAATTTTGAGCATACAGAACTAGAAGTCAGATACCTACTTTGTACGCAAAATAAGTATGGTTCAAGATCCGAAAAACAAAATGAGGATACGACTCAGATAAAACCAAATTACTGCATATTAGATCCACTATGAAGATTTAGAGCAGTACTTTGCATGATGACATCGACAAGCTGCTGCACGTTGAGCTCCCATCGCCTCGTGAAGTCGCTTTGATCTGCGTGAAGTCACCTAACTCTGTCGATCATCACGAAACACTCCACTCCCGCTATCCTCTGATCCAACTGCCAGACCGCAATCCTGACCAAACTCATCCCCTGCCTCTTCCTATGAGAGAAGCACCTTCTCCTCCCCATAGCCGGTGTCGGTGCAGCCCCTTGGCGAAGTGCGCTGGCCAGAAGAGATTAATAGGACACCGCCGCCTCCCTAAAACTTCTTGAAGACAATTTTGTTGTGAGTAACAATGTCAAGCCTGTCAACGCGGCCTAACAGAGAGTTCAATCCATGTACAATGTTCCTCAAATTGCTAGATCAGACGAAACAAGAGACAGAGAAATAAAGGTTGAAGTGGGAGAAGAGAAAATCCAGGACACTCATAGCCCTGAGGCTCCCTCTCTTTGATGTACATGCTTTCTCTTCATTTCACTATATTAACCCCAACAACCCACTCATGCCACGTGGCTTCCTACCCTCCATTACTCGTCATACCCTACCCAACATCCTCCCCACCATGCACCATCACACCAATCTGCCTCGCGCCTTCCCCGACATGGCATCCACCACCCCCTGCCAAACACACGGCCCTCTCGCCTCAATGGAAGTCCTGCAACGTGCCCTTCGCTAAGCTATGGCGAACACACTAATCGCTCTGTGGCATCCACCCCGACGCGCATCCGCTCTCCGTTGCTTGGGCCCAGGTGCGGCGCAGCGGTCCTGGTAGCGCTGCGCCCCAACACCGAAAAGAGAATTAAAATTATCAAGTGAGCCCAACTGTTCCAAGGCTGTAGTTCGTTAGACACGAAAACAGCACAAAAAGTGGATCCCACACAGGGACCAACTATTGGGACCTTTGTCAACCTATCTGCAGGGACCTTTGTAGACAATAATGACCTGTGGACAGAGTAGCACCTACCCAGGGCCAAGTCCCTCCAGCAGCGTAGAGTTTCCTCAACACCCTAGCTGGACGTGTTTGTTGAGATGTGGGTTTGAGGAAATGTAATGCCATTTCTGCACATCTCCACCAACACGTCCAGATTCGGGCGTTGAGAAAACTCAAGACTGCTGGTGGGACAAAAAAAAAAAAAGACTGCTGGCGGGACTTCGCACCAGGCACTGTGGAGCTCTCTCTCTCTCTCTCACACACACACACAGAGGCTGCAGGTTCCATTACTGGTGGACAGTGCGGGGGTATTCGAAACGGGACGTGAATTTGTCCACACACACACACACACACACACACACACACACACACACACACACACTAACACACACACACACACACACACACACACACACACAGAGTAGGAGTGTGACTCTCGTCATGTTGTTTGTACCCTTCGGAAAGATTGCTTGTATACATCAGGGCTGTTCCCCGGATGGATCGGGGGGCCCTTCGACGACCGGGTCCCTGCCAGTTGGACCAGGCGGTCGACCCCAGCGCATTTTTCTGGGGGCCATGTACCGGGGGTTTTCCGGTTCCCCGCCGCCTGCCCGGCCTCTGAGAGGCCGCCGCTACTATGCAAAAAAAAAATCGGGGCCTTCAGACCCCGCGTTTTCGATGAAACGCGGCGGCCGATCCCCATCGTCGATCTGCGAAGATCGACGGCGGGGATCGGCCGCCGCGTTTCATCAAAAACGCGGGGTCCGAAGGCCCCGATTTTCGAATTTCAAACACTGCCGATTCCGGCCGTAGATCTGGCAGATCGGCAGCCGTAATCGTCCACGTTCCAAAATTCGAAAACAGGGGCAATCCGAGTTTCCCCCATCCCCAACGCGCCTCTACGCAAACCCGACCTGCCCCGCTTTTCGATAGCATGCAGCGTTGACGTCGCACGCATTCCCGCGATATGTCGACGTCCTGCTGCTCGCCATCGACGACGCCCAGCCCGCTACCACCGACGAGTCCACGCGCCATCGCCATACCCGCCTGCGAGAAAGCCCCGAGCCCCCATGGGCCATGGCTGTCAACCTCATAGGTGAGCGCACCGACCGTAGGTAGTTTTTTTTTTCTATGTTCTTCTTCTTCTTTTTTTTTCTTGTTCTTCTTTTTTCTTCTTCTTTCTTCTTCTTCTTCTTCTTCTTTCTTCTTCTTTCTTCTTCTTCTTCTTCTTCTTCTTCTTCTTCTTCTTCTTCTTCTTCTTTGATCATATTGGTTCTCGGAGGGAGAGAGAAAGAGAGAGAGAGAGAGAGAGTGAGGGAGAGTGAGGGAGAGAGACCGCGACCACAAACCTTTTGCTGCGCCGTTTCTTCTTCCTCCTCCTCCTCCTTTTCTTCTTCTTCTTCTTCTTCTTCTTCTTCTTCTTTATCTTCAACTTTTTCTCCTTGGAGTCCTCGTCGTCTAATTCTTCATCTTTTCTCGTCCCACTCGTCTTCTTCTTCATTTTTTCTCCTCCTCCTCCTCCTCCTCCTCCTCCTCCTCCTCCTCCTCGTCCTCTTCTTCTTCTCCTTCTTCTTCTTCATCTTTTTCTTATTCCCCGTTTTTGTCGGGTTCTTGGAGAGAGAGAGAGAGAGAGAACTCCACCTCATCGTCCTACCCACCCCTCTTGCTGCGTCGTTCCCTCCTCCTACTCCTCTTCTCCTTTGTCTCCTTCTTCCTCTTCTTCACCTTCGTCTTCCTCTTCTTCTTCTTCTTCTTCTTCTTCTTCTTCTTCTTCTTCTTCTTCTTCTTCTTCTTCTTGTCCTCCTCCTCCTCGTCCTCCACTCCTGTCCCTATCGCTGAGCCATAGCCATAGCCTTCGCGATTTTTTTTTTTTGAAAATTTTAAATCTTCCTTTTCTTCTTCTTCTTCTTCTTCTTCTTCTTCTTCTTCTTCTTCTTCTTCTTCTTCTTCTTCTTCTTCTTCTTCTTGTCCTCCTCCTCCTCGTCCTCCTCTCCTTTGTCCCCCCGTGAGCCGTAGCCATAGCCTTAGCGCTTTTTTTTTTAATCTTAAATTTTCTTCTTCTTCTTTTTCTTCTTCTTCTTCTTCTTCTTGTCCTCCTTCCCCTCCTCCTCCTCCTCCTCTTCTTCTTCTTCTTCTTCTTCTTCTTCTTCTTCTTCTTCTTCTTCTTCTTCTTCTTGTCCAACCTCCTCCTTTTTGTCCTCCTCCTCGTCCTCCTCTCCTTTGTCCCCCCCGCTGAGCCATAGCCATAACCTTTGCGATTTTATTTTTTTTTATCTTAAATTTTCCTCCTCCTCTTCTTCTTCTTCTTCTTCTTCTTCTTCTTCTTCTTCTTCTTCTTCTTCTTGTCCTCCTCCTACTACTACTACTTCTCCTCCTTCTCCTCCTCCTCTTCTTCTTCTTCTTGTCCTCCTCCTCTTCTTCTTCTTCTTGTCCTCCTCCTCCTCGTCCTCCTCTCCTTTGTCCCCCCCGCTGAGCCATAGCCATAGCCTTTGCAATTTTTTTTTTTTTAATCTTAGATCTTCCTCTTCTTCTTCTTCTTCTTCTTCTTCTTCTTCTTCTTCTTCTTCTTTTTCTTCTTCTTTTTCTTCTTCTTCTTCTTCTTCTTCTTCTTCTTCTTCTTTTTCTTCTTCGTGGTTGTCCTCACCCCCATAGCCACATCTCTCCACCCACCATCAATTACCTTACCACGGGCGACAGCATGGCGGGTGACGGCGGTTGCGGGACTGGAGGATCTACACATAGGCAGGGCAAAGATCGAGGGCAGGATGTTGGTGATAAGCCTTCAAGTTCCTCGAGCATGGCACCGGTCATCAAGGAGGCAACGCCGAGTACTGACCCTCTTCTCTTTCAACCCAAGGATAGCAAGGAACAATTGAAGCTGCAGAAGAAGAATGTTGTGTGGGAATGGGTTGAACAAGGACAACAGGCAATGCCAATTGGACGAGGCGGGCATTGGCTCAGGTGTCGCTTATGCTGCAAGATCTTCAGGGGCTCATCGACGAAGGCGGTCGACGATTTCCTGAAATCAGGGAAGCCGTGTACCTTGCGGACCGAGGAGATTGTTGATGCGCTAGTCTCGAAGGGTGGCAAGGTTAAGCCCAGCGGCAAGAACACTGGGTACTTACTGCAAAAATTTAGAGGACTCGCCGGGGGTGCGGAGGGAGATGAGGAGCCTAGGGAGGTTGGATTTGATGTTGAGGATCGAATGTCTAAGCCGGTCCCGCCTACTATTCTAGGCCGGTGTACTTCACAAGTTGCTGCGCAGACARCTGCAGCGGCTACAGATGATGAGGGTGGGGGGGGGGGGGGATGTGGACACCGGTGAAGGGCAACACACCGATCAGCAGATGGTCGTCAAGAAACAAACAACAATCAGGAAGTGGATCGACAATGAAGCCCTGAAGAAGTTGGACATTGCTTGGGCAAAGGCAATGTTCAGGGCAGGCATTGCTTTTAACTTCTTGAACTTCGACACAACACAGGCTCTTCATGATGCGTACTTGAAAGTTGTCAATGCAAGGCCGAAAGTGATGTTGGATTATGTGTACTTGAAGGTTCAAAAGACACTCAACCCCATGAATGTGTGTTGGGACAAAACTAGCTGCACGTTCATCACAGACGGGTCTACTGATCGGAAGAACAGGTCGGTGATGAGTTTCCTGGCAGCAAGGGAGAAAGGAGTCGTTCTTGTGACCACTGTTCGTATGACAGGGAGGAAGAAGAACGCAGTAGCGTTGGGAGCAAATCATGCGCGAGATCGGGCTGCAACGGATCAACGCCATTTGTACTGACAATGCGGAGGTAAACAAGAAGGCGGCCCAAATCTTGGAGAGGCGGACAAATAGAGATGTTGAGAGGATACCTTGGGTACCATGCGGAGCGCACTGCTGCAGCTTGTTGTTGAAGGACCTGAGCAAGCTTCCATGGGTGAAGGACACCGTGAAGACGGACAACACCATCGTCAAGTTCATAAGGAACCATCACGCTAGCAATGGTCTGATGATGACAATCGATGACTCCTTGACATTGCTGCGCCCGACTGAGGTCCAGTTTGGGTCGGTGTACCAGATGTTGCACAGGCTATTGAATAGGGAGGATGTGTTGAACGAGATGGTGGATGGCAGGTTTGCTGCGAGGTGGAGGGCATTGAGGTGGTCAGGAGAGAAGTTGCAAAGAAAGGCAGACCTTGTCTACTTCACATTGAGGACTGAGAGTTGGTGGGCGAAGGTCAAGAAAATAGTGGCATTCATGGAGCCTGTGTACGGTTTGTTGAAAAGGATGGACAAGGAAGGAGTTAGTCCCACCAACATCGTAGAGTTCGACGATATGATTGCAAGGAAATTGTCAAATGTCGTCCTCGCGAAGATGGAGAGGGAAGACGGAGAGGGAAGACGTTATGGCAAAGGTAAATGATCGCGCGCAGATGATGAAACAACTCGCAAACGCAGCTACATTTCTTCTCGATCCATGAAGGAGAGACCCTAGTTGGCTGAACGATCCTGACAGCCCCCTCGTGCAAAACGCAATGCGTTTCTTGATGAGGCAGATTGGGCGGACGTGGAATTCAAAGCAGCCTGTTAACATGTGGGATTATTTGTGGGAGTTCTTGAGAGAGTCTATGGTAGGGGAAGTTTGGAAAGACGAACACATGTGGACAAACCGTGCAAGAGAAGGAGCCAAGTGATGTGCATCTCAGGACTGGTGGGGATTACATGGTGGAGATGTCCCAGAATTGTAGAAGATTGTCATCAGAGTGTTGACAATGTGGAGCACAGCCACACCTGCGGAGCGCAATTGGGCTTCAATGGACTTCGTCCATTCGAAGAGGAGAAACAGCCTCTCGCCGGAGTCATTCGAGAAGCTTGTGTACATTCATTGGAACATGCAGCTGCTGCGTGTTCGAGACAGCAAGGAGAATGGCTACGTTGACACGTGGGGATCCTTCTTTGAGCCGTTGATGGAGACGACAGAGGAAGAGCAGTCTGTCCAGAAGGGCACGATGGACAAGACTGCAAACAATGTGGAGGAGGAGAGGAGGCGACAGAGATTGGCAAAGGCTCGGAAAGGACGGGTTCCAAAGGGGCTCGAAGTTGAGGACTCAACCGGGAGCAGCGACTTCGAGGATCTTGTGTGGAAGGGGAAGTGTTGGAACGAATCCACTTCCGACGAGAGTGATGACGAGGATGACATTGGCGAGGACTCCGATTTCGAGTTGGGGGCAAAGCCAGCAGTCCCCACCACTACATACGTCAGTCGGAGGCTGAGGAGGCGTGAAAAGGAGGCGGAGGTGTTGCCTTCTGACCCCGTGGCCAAAGTGGACACATACATCGAGTTCTTGACGCACCCATTGCCTGATGCAGAGCACCTAGTACGTGATGCACACCACCTGGTGCCTTATGCAGACGAGGAGGAAGCAGCGCGGGCAAAGGATATGGCGGACAAAGATGATGCTCTTGTTCAGAAGCGTATGAAGGAGGAGGAGGCTCGGCGTGCTGCCATCCGAAGGGAGAGAGAGAGACAAACGAGCCAGGTTGAGAAACAGCACACACATCACCTGATCGACAACGTGGAAGAGGAGGCGGATGTGCATGCACCACATGAAGGCTGTTTGCAGATTGTTGGAGAGGACGTTCCAGCAGTCGAGGGAGAAAAAGAGCAGCGGGAAAAAAATGATAACATCAAGAAGAAGAAAATTTGCGGCAGGAGGGAGTTCACTTGACGGAGGCTGCGGGAGAGCAAATGGAAAAACAGGGAGAAGAGCTGCGGCAACCACCACCCGTGGTGTACACACGAAGACTCCGGCCCCCTGCACTGCAGCGGCCTGCAATGCTAGAGGAGCACCAGGATCAGCAGGTTGTGGCTGGGAAAAGCGGCAGGAACTGCAAGCAGCAGTCCGAAGAGCAGCACACCGCATTGCCAAGCCACCGTACCCTGCAGAGAACGAGGATGCTCAACATGATAACCTTTGGAAAAGCAGGGCGGGGCGAAAGAGGAAAGCTCCGGTGGATGAAGTCCCTGCAAAGCCGCGCCGAGGTCGAGGCAGGCCCCCCAACCCAAAGACGGGTGATAATGCTCGAAAACGAAACAGTGCGGTGCAGGCAGGCGCTGCAAAGTCGAAGTCGCCGAGGATGACCCCTCTTCGGACGAGGGAGGTGTGGAGTCGCCCGAGGATGAGATGGACGAAGGGGATTCTGAGAGAGAGAGAGAGAGAGAGAGAGAGAGAGAGAGAGAGAGAGAGAGAGAGAGAGAGAGAGAGAGAGAGAGAGAGAGAGA